AAGGACATTCAGACTTGTTTTTCACCACTTAGTAGAGGAACTAGAACTGGAAAAGGAAAAACGTAATAGATCACGTTTGGCTGGCAAGATTCAACCTTGTGGATGTACTGAGAATGTCCTACCTGTGGTGTTAATAGTGAACAAACCAAACTGTGGAAAATATATCGATGTTGGCCCATTTTGACTTGAGGCAGAGGGAGAGGTTATATTCCTGCATAAAGGACAGGAAATTCCTATAAAGACAAACATTCTCATTCTCAGTCACCTTCTATGAAGATAGATCCCAACGAGCCAAGGAAAAGAATTTTTTCTCCTCTGGTAGATAGTAACTTAGAAGGAATTGCAGGCAGACAAGGAAGGACCCCATGGACATTGGTCCAGACTGTGGACTACACTGGTCTCCATGTCTAGTAGCCCTCTAGGGCCAGTGTGGTGGTACCAACACCAGTCTGAAAACTGGTGGGATCCCAGTATTATAGAATACAGTCTGCAAATTTTGAAAATGTCATCTGCAAATTCCACAGTGAGTAGACATTAATAGATATTTACTTAGATCAAAATCCGCTATGGAGTCTTTGCACACAAGTCTCCAATGTGAGAACAGTTACAGAAACCTGCACTTTTGCTGAGTATTTCAAGGCAACTAGACTTTGGTACCTTATCACTAAACTGCATTAATGGCCGATGAAGCATGTGGAAGTAACATATCACTTGAAAAAGTGTATAACTTACGTTTGCAACTGTTAACAATGTAAGATCTTACCCATGACAAAAACACCTCTGAGAGAATATGACAAAACTGAATTTTTGATTTAGGTGTAAGCGAAAAATTACAAAAGCAAGTTATTTTCCTTTCAATCAGACTGGCAAGCTTTTTCTGTAAGGGTCAAATAATAAATACAGGGTGGAGCAAAAGTAGGTTTACAGTTGTATGTGAAACACGGAGTTTATTCTTATATTATCAATTATTGTATTATTTTCTATACGAACAACTGTAAACCTTTTGCCCTACCCCGTATTTCAGGCTTGTGGGAAATTACTCAACTCTGCAAACAAATTTAGAAAAGTAATTCTGAGAGTTTTCGGCTAATCTGGGGTATCTTCTAAAAAAATAAAGAGAAAAAAATAATACAATCAAAATTTCAAATTAAAAATTTTTATTGAAATTACTTTTTTTAAGATTTTATTTATTTTTAGAGGGGAAAGGAGGGAGAAAGAGAGAGAAATATCATTGTGTGGTTGTCTCTCACATGGCCCCCACAGGGGACCCCACTTGCAACCCAGGCATGTGCCCTGACTGGGAATTGAACCAGCAATCCTTTGGTTTGCAGTCCACGCTCAATCCACTGAGCTACACCAGCCAGGGCCACTGAAATTATTTCTAACACACTTGGCAGCAGTATTAACATATAACTAATAATAGTAGTTAACATAAGATTAAATTGCAAAAAAAGTAGTATTTTTAGCAAATAAAGCATATCTGCTATATTTTTAATTCCTTAAAGAGCCATTACTCACCCCATTAGGAAATGTACAATATAAAGTGGAGTTTTAATTTTTAAGAGAACTGAGCAAGAAGAAAGAGAGAGGAAATAATAATTAGAAAGAGGAAGACATGGTGAAAATATATCTCTTTGTACTGGAATAGATCATTTTAAGAGCTGTTTTCTGGCAAAATCATATCCAATTGTCATCAATAACAGGGCAATAAAGATGGGGAGAATTAACCAAAGACAAAATAAGAAGAATCAAAGAGTGAGGGAGGCCAGTCCTAAAATAAGATGACCAGGAATATATTACTAGGTGACAGACACCTTTGGGTTGAAAAATGGCCATACTGATTACACTGTGAAATGAAAAACAATCCTTGTGCCCATTGTGTCTCTCCACTGACAGCAGCATGATGAAGTTTCCATAGAAACAACATTCTGCTCATCTAACATCCCACCTTTTTTAAAGAGCAGTCAGTAAATCGTCAATAATATTTGTTTGAACAGAGAATTTACTGATAATAAAGGGAGTTACAGCAGAAATCTGCACTCAGTATAGTTTACTAGGGAAGATAAGACAAATATACACATATTAAATGAAGAGATATATACTGCTTCTCCCTTTTTTGGAGAATGTTCTGCAACAAAAACAAGGGGAACAGTGAAATAGAGAATTATGCAGTGGACTGTTCCTGGACATAACTCCTGTATACAGTATTGTCAAATATTCCTAATCTTTGTGTCTCTTTACCTGGAAAAAACATTAACCAGGGAGGACAGTGGGCATTGACAGGCAAGTATTAAAAACAGTTATTTCCAGATTAGGGAAGCCATATTTCAGTGCAAATTACTACACGTACCCCTGCCCCCCCATAAAGCATTTAGAGGAATCGTACTAAAGAGTGATTTTTCTGATTATGGAGATACTTTTTCCCCAGTCGTTTTAAAAAAGTTTTATTGAGTTATATTTACATATTATACAATTCACTCACTGTAAGTATACACAATTCAGTGGTTTTTAGTATTATTTACAGAGTTGTATAATAATCATCACAGGTACAGAGTTTTAAGTGTTTCAGCAAATCACTGAAAAACTGTCTTCTAATTTCAACCCTAACAGTAATCAACTTTTTAACATTTCTTTTCTTTTTTTCCCCCCTAAGTAATTATTTCCAGGGTATAGTGTTGACACTAGTATATACTCACTGAATTGAATCAAAAGCATTTTAAAGGTTTCTTTTTTGAGAAAGTAACTTCTCATAAACATCAACAGTGTTGAAAATAATGCAGCTTCTGGAATTAAACTGGTAAAATCCATACTCAATAAATTAGCTAATTGTGGGAGCAATCCAAAAAACTGCCTTCGACTTCGGAACTGATGAGCTTAAAAACATTCTAAACCCCTAATTAAGATATGGATGTAATCTCAGGAGGCACACTGGAAGTGGTTGTAATTCGGTCAGCAGAAATCTAATCAATTGTCTAGCATGCTGGTAGAGAAAGTTGGTGCAAAGGTCAGCCTGTAGAAAGAGAACTGATGATGCTACCCAGCTCTGTCCAGGAACGGACACACAAAATCCGGGGGCATGAATTTTCCTGTCATTGAAGAGATGTACTGTTGCAGGGCAGGGGTCGTTCATCAGGTCTCAGCATGATCTGAACGAAATATCTCTCAAAATGACTAAACTCGTTTTGATTCCTAATTTACTAAGCAACCACCTGATGTGCCTTCCAGACCTGCCAAAACAGTTACCTTGGCATGTACAATTTGAGTATCCTGGTTATCAAAAATGAATCTGTCCCACCACCCAACAAATGTACAAGTGATTTGGTTTATTTGCTTCTGGTGGACTAAAATATGTTAATCAACTCTGGCACACTGATAATATTAAGATCATACCCTTAACTGTGATAATCACAAAGCCAGTGTCATCCCGAGATCTTGATAGACAGTCATCCAGACCTTTCCTGCTATATCCCGACCTCATCATGGATCTCAAACCTGTAATTTGGTTCCATTCAAATATAATAAAAGAGGCCAAAAGAGAAACAAGAATGTCCTATTCACTCTACATCAAGTCTGCCTTGTATACCTCTGACTGAGCAAAATCAGAAATGACTGCATTAATTTAAACAGACAAGAATAAATCAAAGCAAATTCAGTTTTCTTATTTTTCTGAAATGAAATTAAAAACACCTATCACTTTAAATCACTTATCATTGACTTAACATTAATCAACAGAAGATGAATCTGAGTAAATCTAAATTGATGGGTGAAAGTTTGAACATAAAGAAAATGTGCTCAGTAAATAACTACTGAATGAAAATAACACATGAAATGCCTGCAATTTAAAAAAAAACAATTCTCATCACTTCTGCTACTAACCGAATAGGGCAATGCTAGAAACTGAGTATATTTGTTAAAATAATGTTCTTTTTGGTCAGCTTCTCATTTTAAAAATTATCAAGTTCTTGTCTTTTCATTAAAAGCTTAGTTTCACCCTGATGGTATGGCTCAGTGGGTTGGGTGTGATCCCATGAACCAAAAGGTCGCTGGTTCAATCCCTGGTCAGGGCACAGGTCTGGGTTGTGGGCCAGGTCCATGGTTGGGGGCAAACGAGAGGCAACTGATTGATGTTTCTCTCCTTCTCTTCCCTTCCCCTCTCTCTAAAAAAAATATTTTTTAAAAAAAAGCTCAGTTTCAGCCCTGGCTGGCGTACCTCAGTGGATTGAGCGCAGTCTGCGAACCAAAGTGTTGCAGGTTCGATTCCCAGTCAGGGGACATGCCTGGGTTGCAGGCCATGACCCCCAGCAACCGCACACTGATGTTTCTCTCTCTCTCCCTTTCTCCTTCTCTTCCCTCTCTAGAAAATATATAAATAAAATCTTTAAAAAAAAAATTTCAGTTTCAAAAAATATAATTAAAGGATAGTCAAATGATAGAAAATCTGTCCTTCCCTCTAAAATTTTCAGAGGTTCTTTTCCCTTTTGGGATCTACAGGATCCTTTAAGAACCTGATTAAAATATCAAATCCTCTTTGCAAAAAAGAATACATGCACACATATACATAATTTTGGAAACCATCACAGAGAGTTCAAGGACTACCAAACACTTTAAAGTACATTCAACCAACTTTTAGAACTAAGAAATAATGCCCTTCTCCTAAACAATCGTTTTTTGGGTTTTTTGTTTTGTTTTAATTTCAAAGGCACTTTGGATTTTTAATATACTTGTGTTGCCTTCTCTACTGTGACTTCTGGGATGACCAGAGTCAAATTTGCAGTCCATTTCTAGGAACTCAACAGGCTATTACAGCAACATTTTGTGTACTAACCTTATCCATGACTTCATCTTAATCTTTCCTTATTTTCCCAATCCCCCTGATTTCTTCATCTAGTTTTAATAATGTTTTGTGGCACTCTACAAACTGCCTCACTTCTCTAGGGAGAGGGATTGTTATAGATAAATTAATAATATTAAGAAAATCATCCTTGCTTTCTCTCTTCCAGTCCCAGGCACTGTGGGAGCCACAGGCTTCAGTGCAGACTTCAGTGCCAAGTCCAAGAATGACACCACCTACAGCCAGCCCCGAAAATGGCACAGAAACAGCATCAAGAAACCTCAATCACAAAGATATGAATCTCTTAAAGGGGTAGACCCCAAGATCCTAAGAAACATGTACTTCTCCAAGAAGCACAAGAAGGGCCTGAAGAAGATGCACACTAACTATCAAGGCCCTGGTAGAGCCCAAGAAGGTCAAGCCCAAGATCCCAAAGAGCAGTAGCTGCAAGCTTAATTGACTTGTCAACAAGCTCACCCCAAGCTCCTGGCCTCATCACCAAAGGTCTCAGATTCTGCAGGCCAGAGTGCAAGTTAAGGCTCAAACCAAGCCCCAGGCTGCAGCTGTGGATGTTGCAGCTCCAGCTCAGGCTCCCAAAGGGGAGGCCCTCAGGAAGGCTCCACAGTAGAGGCCTCTATCTGCCAATGAGGATGAAGGCCTGGTGTGACCTCTGGGCTGCCGTCTGCATGGAGCTGGTATCCTCCTGTGCTATTTGTACAAATAAACCTGAGGCAGGGGGAAAAAAAAAAAAGAAAGAAAATCATCCTTAGGTTACAGATCTATTTGGTGTATTTATCACTGCAGGGTTTCTTAAAATTTTAAATTCATTACTAATATTTAAAAACCCCAACATTTCATATAAAAATTCAAATTTTAGAGGTCTCTGAAAAAAATGTAGAAAGTTATTATCTCCCTAGGACAGCATTTGCAAGCAGCATCAGTCTTGAATAACTGTGGTCTCACTTGCACAACTCTCAGGTTTTCACTTTGCTTATTTATAGTACCTGAAAGGCTCGGTAAGGACTTTTGAAAAAGGAACGAACTTCAGGATTCTATAAACACACACCCACACTTACATATTTTTTCTCATACTTTGGAGAAATAACAAGCACAATTCATTCTGTAAACTTTCACCGGACCTCGCCTCTGCTAGGCCCAATGCCAGGCGATTAAAGGAAGGAAAAAGCAGAGGTCTGGGTCCTGGCTGGCAGGTAACATCAGTGACTGATCAGGGCATGAATCACCGCCAATTAGCACAAGGAATGGTGAACTGAGCTATACAAAGTTAAATTCTGAACCGATGGTGAAACAATACCTAGTGTAGGATACACACTAAGGAATCTAAACTAGTTCCTTTAGACACTTGTCGACGCAACCCAACGCTAGTTCGCGTTCGGGGTTGGGAAGACAAAGTCTGCCTTGGCTCCTGATTGAGTCAAGGGCAATGCAATGCCTGCACTAAGCGCACTCTGGGAAGAAGCCCAGGTTTCCGGAACAACCCCTGCATACCTCCCCCCTTGACTCCACCCCTGGGTGTCTTTCCCGCCAAAGGCCGTTAACGCCGCAGAGCATGGTGGGACGGGCTGTAGAGTAGGTTTCACCAATTCCTTTCAAGGCGCGTAGGTGCTTTCATAAACTCGTTCCTGAGGAAACTATCTCTTTAAGACTCGACCGGGATTAATAACCTCTTTACCGAGGGCTCCGTATTTTTTTTTACCAAACGGTTAGTCACTCCATTAGCAAACCACTCGTAACTCGAGAACGCAAGGAACTTTTTTCCTTTGGCGCGGAGGGTGACGTCGCGCGTGCGTGAGCGTAGGTTCGCGAGCCCGTTAGGCTCTTGCGCGTGCGTACTGAGGTCGAATAGCTGCTTCCTTCCGCTTCTCTTCTTCCCTCCCCCCCATATCCGTGCGCCAAGCTGATAAAGGCGCCATTTTGGAGAGGCCGCGGGAGACGTGGTGTCGCTGCCGGTTTGCTCTTCTGTGCGCTACGCTTGGTGGGAAGGCCTGTTCTCGAGTCCGCGCTTTTCTTCGTCGCCATGTCGGGAGGTGGTGTGATTCGTGGCCCGGCTGGGAACAATGATTGCCGCATCTACGTGGGTAACTTACCTCCAGACATCCGAACCAAGGACATTGAGGACGTGTTCTACAAATACGGTGCTATCCGCGACATCGACCTCAAGAATCGCCGCGGAGGACCGCCCTTCGCCTTCGTTGAGTTCGAGGACCCGCGGTGAGGCGGTCTGGGGCTTGCGGCCTTGAGGAAGTCAATTCGAGTAGTTGGGAAAAGCTCCAAGGCCTTATAGTAGAGAATGGAGAGGTGGGCTCTCAGATAAGGGGCAAGATGATATCGCCTCTGCAGGAGTCGAGGAGGATCTGAGTCGAGTTTGGCTTTTCTGGTGGCTGGGCCCCCGTGGACGTTCCCAGAGCCGACTTAGGCTAGGAGCGGGAAACATGCGTTGAGGGCCGGTGTAGTGGTCGCGAGCCTAGAGTGTTTCTGAGTGGGGGAGGGGCCATTCCTATTATGCAGCGCATGTGGGCTCTTCTGACTGGATGCGCATGTGCGGGGGGCAGCTGAGTCCGGCGGAGTTAGTTACCCATCCGAGTCCTAGCCATTTTGCTTTTTGTGGTCTTGCAGAGATGCGGAAGATGCGGTGTACGGTCGCGACGGCTATGATTACGATGGATACCGTCTGCGGGTGGAGTTTCCTCGAAGCGGCCGTGGTACAGGCCGAGGCGGCGGCGGGGGCGGAGGTGGCGGAGCTCCCCGAGGCCGCTATGGCCCCCCTTCCAGGCGATCTGAAAACAGAGTGGTTGTCTCTGGTGAGTTTACCGTTAACGTGGATTGATGAGAAAAGGGACAGAAACGACTTAATAATTTCCTTGGGTTACCAGTTTGTCAAATTTTTATGCTAGGCCCTGAATTAGTCTTGGGTGAATTTAGTAGTAAACAGGCACTATTGTAACGGAGATTTACCAAACTAGCTTGCAGTACCTAGAATATAAAGGATCTTAATTTAGAAACAATTTTGGACTCCAGATTCCAGATTTTAGCTCTTTACTAAGATCTTAAATCATTCATTTAAAAGTAGTCTTTGTTCTCATGTAAATTTTGAAGTTATGAAATTCAGGATGATTGGTATTGAAAAAAGGTCACTTTTTCAGGACTGCCCCCAAGTGGAAGCTGGCAGGATTTGAAGGATCACATGCGTGAAGCAGGTGATGTATGTTATGCTGATGTTTACCGAGATGGCACTGGTGTCGTGGAGTTTGTACGGAAAGAAGATATGACCTATGCAGTTCGAAAACTGGATAACACTAAGTTTAGATCTCATGAGGTAGGTTATTCGCTTATTCTTTTATTTGGCCAGAATTGGATACATGGTCTTAACAGTGGAATTTGCAGGTAAGATTCAGGCAGGCGTGTCCAAGTAAAGTGCCAGATTTCTGGGTTTTAGCTACATTGTACTCATTCAGCATGCCTGAAGACAGGTAAAAGCTTAGATGTTTCAATCGAAAGTTCTGTCTATTCAATAGGGAGAAACTGCCTACATCCGGGTTAAAGTTGATGGGCCCAGAAGTCCAAGTTATGGAAGATCTCGATCTCGAAGCCGTAGTCGTAGCAGAAGCCGTAGCAGAAGCAACAGCAGGAGTCGCAGTTACTCCCCAAGGAGAAGCAGAGGATCACCACGCTATTCTCCCCGTCATAGCAGATCTCGCTCTCGTACATAAGATGATTGGTGACACTTTTTGTAGAACCCATGTTGTATACAGTTTTCCTTTACTCAGTACAATCTTTTCATTTTTTAATTCAAACTGTTTTGTTCAGAATGGGCTAAAGTGTTGAATTGCATTCTTGTGTAATATCCCCTTGCTCCTAACATCTACATTCCCCCTCATGTCTGGTAAATTGTATTTTAAGTGATGTCATAGACAGGATTGTTTAAATTTAGTTAATTCTCCATGCTCTTCAGACTGTGATATTGTGTAAATGTCTATCCTGCTCTGGTTTGTGTGAACTGGGATGTTGGGGGTGTTTGTGGCTATCTTACCTGGGGAAGTTCTTATGTTTATCTTGCTTTTCATGTGTCTTTCTGTAGACATATCTGAAGAGATGGATTAAGAATGCTTTGGATTAAGGATTGTGGAGCACATTTCAATCATTTTAGGATTGTCAAAAGGAGGATTGAGGAGGATCAGATCAATAATGGAGGCAATGGTATGACTCCAAGTGCTATTGTCACAGATGAAATTGGCAGTATTGACCTTATACTAAAAAGCAAGGGTTAAAAATGATTATATGCACCCATCTTAAAACATTATGCAGTTATCTTAGCTACAATTGCTTTGCTCTTTAAACCTTGGCAATTGTGGCAAAATTACAGTGCCCATTTTGTAACAGTTTATTTTGCTCCCTTCCCCCCTCTTTTGTTTTAATAGGGACTAATGTGGGAAGAGCTGGCTAATTTGTCACAGTGCTTAGTTACAACTGTTAATGTGTGACCTGCTGTTGGTGTACATGTGGGTACAGGGTGTCTTTAATTCCAACCAGATAGAGTATAATATCAATACTGCTAAATCTGCATGTCCTCTGTGTGACTGATATAGCGTTGCTATTTCATTTTTTTAAGACAAAATGAAAGCAAATTATAGAATTCCAACGTATTGGTGTAGATAATCTAGATGGGAATACTTCTAAGTCTCACTTTCCCCTTAAACTAATATTCATAATTGACTCATGTTTAAAATACTTTAATTTACAAATTAAATTGCAAATGGGAGCATTAGATTTAGTTTAGACTTAGGGTTGGTAACAATACCAGTAAACTTCAACTACATAATTTTTGCAACCACAAAACCTGTAATACGCTGTACAGTAACAAGTGTTGGCATTATCAGTTGAACTGTAAATATAAAATGCTTCTTCCAATTAGTCTCTATGATGATTAAGTTTCTAAAGTTTATCTGAACACCATTCAGAAACTTGTTTTGGGGAATTTGATAGTTATTGATGTACATCTGTTAAACTGATGACAGACATAACTCATCATTCCCCAGAAACCTTTTTTGATTACAGTATCTAACATTTTGCCTCCTCTTTTTTGGTTTTGCTGGTTATAAAGGTTTGGATTGGAGAGGGCTCACTGGATCCCAATCCTTGGAGCTGGATCATTGGATTCAAATCATAATGTGGATAGGATAGGGAGGATCAATTACAAGGATTCATGGAGCGGGATCAGATTACCAGGAACATAGGAGTGGATTCCTGCCCCAACCAAACCGCATTCGTGTGGATTTTTTTTTTATTCAACTTAATTGGCTATTCCAAAGATTTTTTTTCTCTATTTTTGACGATTGGAGCCCTTAAGATGCACGATGGAATTGTGTTTTGCATTTTTGGTAAAAGGAGCAAAGCGAGGACCTGGAGATATACGCTGGAGCAATCTCCTTGGAAGGATTCAGCACGAGTAGATGGTAAACATTTAAAGGGGAAAGGGGGGTTTGTTTAAAATAGTAAATCAGTAAGTCATTTCTAAATTTAAAGAAAACAAAATTGGTGTTGAAGAATACGTAGGTTTCCAATTGGCTGTTGCCGTTTTTCTTTGAGAAATAAACATTTTTTAAAAAACTGCATGGTTGTCTTTTTCCTCTTGTAAGATTTTAACTGGGTGGCTGTCAGTTAATATTCTAAATTGATGATACGATTCTGACTTGCATTTGTGTGTTAGTAA